ATTTTATCTTTTAAATATTTGAATTTCCAACATGTTCTGATAGTGGAATATGAGGCAGATAATGTTACAGGAAAATTTCCAATTTCTGAGCAATCTGAATGTGCCACAGTTCATCCACTGTCATCAGTGACTGCTGCTACGCCTGTGCTCTCATGGCAGGCTCTGCAGTGGGGGAGGAGCTGTGGAGGGAGGGCTTGTAGCACAGCAGAGAGCAAGGAGGAGAGAGCTGTAAGACTAAGACCACAATTTTCTCAGAATCCCCTACTGCAGCTTTAATTTTTTTCTGTCATTGGTGTGTAAACTTGCCGTAGAGTCACAGTGCTRCTTGCAGAGTGAAGCCAGTTAGCTGTTTTACAGATATTGTGCCAAAGTGGCTGTGATAGTATCTGACAGTTATTCACAACTCATKTGCTGACAATTTTTTCAAGATTTTAAGGGAAATGGCTACACCTTTGTCCCTTTACACCATAATAGGATCTTAGACTGAAATTCTGGCTTGAAAGGTGGAGAGCAGTATGTTTACCTCAAGGAATGCTAGGCCTTTAGACAAAAGGACGTTTCAGTGCATAAAAATCTGCATATAACGCTTCCATTTTAAAAATCCTACTGGTGTTTATCCAACCTTTATTAAAAAAGTTACTTGATAATGAAATATACAGCAACTTGTTCAAAACCTAAAACAATAAAAATAAAAATAACCATAAAAAGTTCATCCAGTGCAGCAGATCTGAGTCATGTCCTCTGTACTCCATATTAGTTCATGTTAGCCCGACAGCAGTGTAGAATCTAGTTTTAGGCAGACCCTAATCCTAACCTTTCCTCCAGGTCCTGGGATCTGAATGCAGACCTAGTTTCCAGATATGATCCAGTGTAATCCTGTTTTACAGAGTATGGGCGTTTTGAGGCCCGGATCAATGACCTCCGAGAACAGATGATGAGCTGCAGCATGAGCTCTGGGTCAGGATCGCTGAGGACAAACCAGAAGAAGTCACTTTATGTGAGGTCAGTCTGCTTTTTTACATTCAGCAAAAGCACCATCAACCATCCGTCCATTTTTCTCATAGAGATTTCTGACAAAAAACCTTTAAAGACTTTAATGTGTGTGTAAGATGGCAGCACTAATCAGTATAATGTACTGAATACAAACACACATACACGTACAATGAAATCAGGTTTGAGTCTGAATGTGGAGAACACTTCTAATTCTAGCAAATCCCTACAGACTCAGGTTCTCTCTGACCTGATAAAGCTTCCAGTTTCTCTCCAGTGAAACTAAAGGTAGACCTTTAGTTTGGTTTAGTGTTTAGTTTTTAGTGTTTAGTGTTTAGTTTTTAGTGTTTAGTGTTTAGTNTTTAGTGTTTAGTGTTTAGTTTTTAGTGTTTAGTGTTTAGTTTAGTGTTCTGCAGACTTCATTCATTCCAAGGTTTTGACTGAGATCATCTCATGTTGAGAAATGATGGCCTTACTGCCAGTTCGGTCAAGCTTTGAGAACAACAATAGGAGCAATCTTGCACAATATTGTGAGATGTCACATGATTTTTTTCACTGCTTGGAATCTGTAAAATTGACTAAGGTATAGCCTTTTTGTGTTAGGCTGTCAGTCACATGTAGCAGCCATCTTTGTTAGACTGATTTCAAATATTAAGTTTTACRTCCAGTAATTATTTTTTGTGTTTTATTGAAATCTGTCTAGTGGATCATAAGCTATTTTGCTAACAGACAAATAGGGTTGACTCTAGTTATTGTTTGAAACAAAGAAGCAAAGAAGTCTTGCGTTGTGTTAAGCTCAGTATACGCTGGGGAAAATTCTGAGTTACCATCGCACCACATTTTAGCTCAATATTATTAATATTTATTGGGTTATAGTTAGGTTTCCATGTCTCCAGCAGAGCATGGAACCAGGGGTGGAGCTTCAGTGGGGGCTGGGAGGGTGACACGCCCCCAGCCTGGGCCCATATGGGGCCCGGGTTGGGGCCCAGAGTGAGTCTGGAACTGGTCGGGCCCAGAGGGAGATAGAACGTGTGTTCTGCTCTGGTCCAACCTCTGCAGTAAATATTCAGCCATTATAAGCAATATGAGTATTTACACTGGCTCCTCATGATGGTGCAGAGCAGCGAGTGGACTGAGAACTGCCAAAATTAGATTCATCTTTTGCCCGATGCTGGAGCTGCTCCGGAGTCAATTTACAAAAATCACACCGCACCAACAGGAAGAAGAACGAGCACAACTTCTGTTTTTACAAAATAAATCCCCAAAGAAAGAGTAATTTTGTCTAAATGTTTGCTATATTAATAATTATATGGGTATATTTATACATAAATGCTTTCAAAATGCATCATTATGGGTAGGAAGCAGATGGAAACATGCGGCTTGCAACATGTTCATACACACATCATCCACCTGGATTTTATTCTGAAATCAGAAGTTTCAAAAAGTCAACAGGGATGCAGTTTAAATCCGTCTTCCATGGAATGACTTGTTTTGCTCAGACTTTTACATTTATCACTGGATTTATTGTGCCACCTCACATTTCCTGCACATTCCTCTCAGAGCATGGGACGAGACCGGACCGGTTCGGAGGCAGTATGGAGCCGACCCTTTGAGGCAGGTGGAGAAAGCGGGCCCGAATGCATCCAGAGAAGCCTGGTCTGCTTTGATTGACAACCCCTTCCGGGGACCAGATAACAAACAAACATGTGTTGTTGATCTGGTAAAAATGTTTCCATCCAGCAGTAACTTCAGAGGTTTGCACCGCTCTCTTTTTATTTTTGACTCTTCCAGTCACCATTTCAACCTCTGAGCGCTCATTCGCTAAGTTAAAACTCACCAGCATGTCAACCCCTTCAGTTGTTTACCTGTATACTGAGCCTCATTCATAATTTTAGCAAAGAATAAAATAAAATAATCCATATTAATCACAGGCGCAGGGTTGGGGGATACAGGTTGTCTGTTGGCCGCAGGTTTCAGCACCTGTACAGGGCAGAGCCCCAGGGCAAAGCAGGAAGAAATGAGGAGGGGAGAACTTATTTATAGTGGCAGAGCAGGTTGGAAGATGGTTATTTTAGGTTATTTATTGTTTTTTAATGTCCTACAGGCTCTGAAATGTAAAAAGTTTGAAACTATGTTTTTTTAAATCCATAAAACTAAAAATATTTGGGAGAGATTGGTCTGTTAACTTCAGTATACCTGCAAAATGAGGAAAAACTTACAGACAGTCCATACAACTTGGCATGTTGCACTTGAGTGGGACACAGTGGGACAGGAGAGACTGAGAGGACTTGTCACGTTGTCCAGAACAAGAGATCAAAGAGCATCACGGACGAGATCTCGGCGCGCAAGGCTCGTCATCTGTTCTTCAATAGTGGTGAGTAGCTACTTCTTTTTGAAATTGTGTTTGTGAACATGTAGGCCGCTGTGCCAGTGTTACTGAACGTTAGCACTGATAGGTTACAGGCTGAGTTGAAATAGATAAAGCTGGTGTCAAAATGACTCGACCACTATCCGTGGTGATGAACTGTTTTGAATTTGTGTTGTTTAATCATTAGTAGCTCAATGTTTAATAGTTTTCTTGGTTTGTTATACTTCATGTCCATTTGATGGACTTCAAAATAGCATAGTCGCTCTATGGTGCTGAAGTTTGTAAGCCCTGCTGTTGCAGGCACATGTATGTTGTATAAAATGATGATATCATGAGCTTTATTATTTGATATAAAGGGCCCGGTCATTTGCCTCGCCCCCGGCCCGGCTCTGACTTGTTCCGCTAGTGCATGGAACCCTATTCTGACTGTTCCATTTTCTATTGTTATTATGGGTCCAAGCCGCGGAGCAGTTGAAATGCAACAGTTTTTCCATGCATCCAGCAAAGCATGGAACCCTATTATTTCACTGTTTTTTTTTATTATAAGGGGTCCAAACTGGCAGAGCAGGTCAACGCAGCTGCAATGTTTCCATGTCTCCAACAGATTTAAAATCTAATCGCCACAAAACTCACCATCCTATATCTCATTAGTATGCTGATTCAATGTTTTGAAGGACAAGTATAAAAATTTTAAAATGTGTGAGTTATGCCTAGGCAAATAGCTTAAGCAAGCTAGCTAAACAGGAATTTGGCCATATTTTCAAAATAATATGGCTTAATCAGATGAAAATCATACAAGTAGTACAGGAGTCAGTTTAAAGTTGGTGAACCAAATTTTCAAATCATTGAGGCATAAATCACGAAAAATTCTTACGCAAAAATGGCTTATCGGCTATTCATAAAACTTTTCATAGACCTACAAACCCTTGACTTGAACCTAAGTATAAAATATCATTATTCACAAATAAACTGGGCATGGCCTATACTGTCCTTCTGTCCTTTATCTGGGGTCAGGTAGGGGGGGAAGCAGCCGAAGCAGAGAGACCCAGACTTCCCTCTCCCCAGCTACTTGTGCCAGCTCATTTGGGGAAATCACAAGGCATTCCCAGGCCAGGTGAGAAACATAGTCCCTCCAGCGTCTCCTGTGTCTTCCTCTGGGCCTCCTCCAAGTGGGACGTGCCTGGAACACCTCAACAGGGAGGTGTCCAGGAGGCATCCTAACCAGATGCCTGAGCCACCTCAACTGGCTCCTCTCTATGTGGAGGAGCAGCGTCTCAACTCTGGGTCCTTCCAGATGACTGAGCTTCCCACCCTATCTCACATCTAGGGACAATTTAGAGTTATCAGTTAACCTAACAGTCATGTTTTTGGTCTRTGGGAGGAAGCCGGAGTACCCGAAGAGAACCCACCCATGCACGGAGAGAACATGAAACTCTACCCAGAAAGGTCCCTGGGCCAGGATTTAACTGGCGATCTTCTGCATCAACTCTACAAACTGAGCCACYGTGCCGCCATATGTGTAAATATATATGCATATATATTATTTTCTCTTTTTTGCAGCCCTGAAAATAGCACTTTAGACTGTCAAAATGAGGCACAACTGGTCTTGAGAGTAAAATGACTGCCCTTTGAAAAATGCTTGCCCAATTTTGAAAATCTAATGTGCATTGGATTATGTTTTTTTCATTCTCTAACAAATAAACTTTTTAATAATTGCTATGAAAGTAGTTAAAAATTCCTTTGGAAAATATAATAACAGTAATAAAGTTCCTCGTATCTTGTAAAAGCCTTCTTCGATGTCTGTATACGGTAAACATCATTGCTATAAAATTGGACACACTCCATTTCAGTGACTGCCACCTCACATGGAGCTGTCTCAGCCACCTTTGTGGAAAACAACATTCTCTGTTTGGCACAATTGCCAAAAACAAAAAAGGAATCCCACAACCTCTAAAACCTGACATCACTCCATGTTTGTTCGCATTTTTGTAAAGAAGGAAGTTGCGTTCAGCGTCTTTTTCAGTGGTTTTTGTTTTGATTCCTTCTGTGGTTCTTGGTGAAGTGCCATCACAGGCAATGGGGAGAGCAGGTTCTTTACAGGGTTTAATATGTTTGATACAGTACAATGTGAGTGTGAAAAGCACCAGATGAAAATGTAAACAAATCTTGTAATTTTGGTCCCCAAATGAATCGAGTCTACTATCTGACTATCAGGTGTGAAAATAACATTAAATTACATCCACAAGTGTGTCTCTACTTAACTCATATGTTATCAATAAGCCAGAATGAATCAGAAGGTTATAAAAAACCTGACATTAAATGTACTAAATGTTTAAAGGCATTATAATCTCAGTAAATATCAACTTTTGACTTTGCAGAAAATAAAAAAATGTCTTACAAATTCTCACATTACTGRAATTTATCAAAAAGAAATAAAATGGTACTCCTAACTGACCTAAAACAAGAAATGTTTATTCTGATTTCACGTCAAGACAGTGCGGAAAAAAAACGTCTTGTTATATAGTGCATGTAAACTTCTGGTTTCAACTGTTTGATCTAATTGTTAGCATTAAAGTATGAATAGGTCAAAACAGGCTTTCAGTAGTTTTTTTTAATTCYGTATTCAGATTAGCTATCTTTAGTTTTCCTCACACCTTTCATAAGGTGGCATAACTTGTCTAAAGAAGAAATCTTTTGATCCTTAGTCAGACGCGTTATCCATTGCACAATCGTTACTGGCACCAAAAGCTTAAAGTATTAGGCCAGTCTATGAGACGTATGACATTTTCTCCGACAGTCTCAGACTCAGTATTTATATTGGGTAACATACGTAATGGTAAAATATTATGAATGTTATTCTAATTACTTAATATTTACAGTAAAAAAATGACTTGAATGACTTAATACTTGTTACACAAGGGCAATGTATGCAGCATTTTTATTGCAGCATTATGAACATTAAGAAAAAAAACTCAGTAGTATTTGTCAATGAATAACAACTTTCTGTGGCAAATTGAGTTTCCTCACCTGTTTCACCTTGATTGGCTGCCGCTCTATCAAGCGCAGCTGCAGCAGGTTTCCCTGATGAGCGTGAGGGGTTTATTAGACGGCACTGCTGAACTGGTCTTCGCCGGAGCAACACGTACCTTACGGTATTTGTCCTGGC